TTTTGTGGGTGTGTGAGTCGTAGGCGGTGTCCCTCTGACACGCCATTGGCTGAGCTCCCAGCCAATAGCGGAGCAGCAGAAGGGAGTGTAACCCGCTCACGAGTACTACGACCATTCAGCTCGGCGTCTTCGCGCGCTGTGGAGCGTTTCGCGCGAATTCCTGGAATTCTTTGCAAATGGATGGAAATCCGGCGCGGTTCCCCGGGCGTTCAGCACGGTTTGGCCGTGTACTGGCTGAGGTAGTAGTTTGTGCTGTTGGTTGGGATGTGACATTGCCCGTTATGGAGATGACTGCGCAAGCTACTCCCTTGCCAGTGCTGGTTACACTCTTCCCAAGCTGGAATTGGCTCTAGAATCGACAACCTCATGCAAAATGTGATGTTTTTTTGGTGTGTATGTGTGTTTGTGTGTGTTAACTGATGTAGTTTTGCGTGTTGGAGATGTTCTGAGAGTTGTATAGCTTTGTAAACGTGCGCTAAACGCTTTCTGTCATTTAAATTTAATAAATATACATGTTATGAAGCATGTTGGTGTGTAATTTTTGCTTTTAATTAATCGTATATTTGAAATGTATGTTATATTTGTAACTGCGAATGTAAATTCACGAGGACTGCTCATATGTCCCAGTTTTCCTCACTAAAGTACTGTTGTTTTTTGTCGAGCGCAGCAGAAATGCAGACACTACCCTCGGGAACGCGACGGGCTGGGTTATTAATTTTAATAGATAGTTGATTTTGCCCTTGGGATTGCAAATACATGTAGGTCATACTCTACTGTTGCTATGAAGAGAGCTGTGACGTGGCTTTTTCTGCCCACTACGGTAGAATCATCGATCGTGACGTCACGTGGTAACGAACGGTAATACCTGAGAACTGGTTTTTGGGCTACTCCACCGGAGCACGTGCGTGGAAAATGATTATTTTATGTGCTTGGGTTAATGATTATAGCACTGCAGGGGGAAAGAGTTATGGTTTATGTACATATGGGGTATTGAATGACGTGCTCTGATGTCATAAAACAGACCTCATTTAACCTAAAGATCTCCATTGACTTTCACATTACAAGATGTACTAAATGGAATTACTAAAGATTGCTTTGTTTTGCACGATTTGATAAATATGATCATTGTATTAGCCAAATAGTTTATTTATAAATGCAGATATTTCAAAACTCCTCCATTACTCATTGTATTTATAAAAGAACTTAAAACATTTTCGCATACTTAAAATGAAAACAAAAATTGCCTTAAAAATGTTTAATTTATTTGTATCATTTAACTTGTCATAGCGGATAGGCTATGTTTTATATTGATTTCCTTTTTGTTTTGTTTTTTTCACTCCTAATTTTAGTTTGAATGTTGTATTTTTGTATAGTATTTTAAGGTTGAGCCCTCATGTGTGACAATTTGTAAAGATAAATGCCACTTTGTTGTATTTGGATTTTGTATTTCAAAAAAAAAAACTAAAGATCTTTAGTAAACTGTCAATACTTTAGAAATTCAGTATTTTAAATTACAATTTCTCCTCAGAAACAGGTACAGTAATTACTATTTGGTTGCATGTTTATTATGGTAGTATGGTAATTGAGGTTAAAAAATATTGTTATTTAAGGAAAATCATTCAATTTTAAAGTGTATATTTTGCAAATTCATTATTTATTTATTGAACATTTACCGTGTACATTTGGTACACATCATTTAAAATTATCATTGGAATATTTATAATGGTGTCAATAAATAATAGAAAAAAAAACAATAGAAATCTTTCAAATATCATTAGGTTATCTGATCTGAAGATGGATAGATCCAGATGGATAGAGATTTAAAGGTTGTTCAAATTATGTTTTGAGTGCTTTTTTGTTAAGTGAATCTGTAATTTAAAGTATTTGCAAATTCATTATGTCAGCAGTCGGTGGTCAAAGCTAACGTGATTTTATGGAGGAAATACATGATTAGCGCAGATAATTTGCCTACATTCATACTGTGAATGCAGTGCGTAGGCTGAAAGCATTTTACATGACTAAGTCAATCGTCAATGTTTTCCTTTGAACCAAGTTCATGACCTAGAGAGGAAACGCCGTCCTCCTGTTCAGAAATTCCAACATGTTTTATAGATGTTTGAGGGTTCAAACTGCAGAAGATTCCTTACAAGGTTTATCAAACTCTTTGGGGAATATTATCACATTGGTGAATCCACCCATGTCAAATATTTTAACTCCGAGATCATCAGTACGTGAGGTTTACAAGGACGATGTCCATTCGAGTATGTAAAATTAACTGTACCAGTATTTTGTTTTTAGGTTTGAACCAATGACTGTAAAAAATATGGACGACGCGACAGCCCTTTTTCCCATTGAACGCCTTGAGGGCAAAACGCCTGCTTGACGGGCACAAACTGTCGCAAAAGACTGCTGAAATTGGAGCCAGACATGCGCAGAAGGATTGTCTGATGGAGCCAGAGGAGGAGCCGCGAAAATGAGCAGAGTCGAGCTTCCAATCAAACGCTTTATGTAAAATCAACTACGCCCCCCGAACTTCTCAGCATGCGTTTGCTGTCATATCAACACAAATGGATGTAATAACGTTAACAAATATGAGGGTTTTATATATTCAATCGCGCCAGCTCCAGGCCGCAGCGCATAACTTACTCGCGGCGTCGCGGGCTGATTCTGGCTCGCATGCGGCAGCGCCTGCTCGCTCGGCCGCCGCATCTGGCTCGATTGACTCGGCTGGAATTGGGTAGTGAGTCCAGGCATCCGGAGTAGGTCCAGCAGAGGTAACATTAGTCAGTCTGAGCTCTAAGAGATAAGTCTCCGGCAGGCGAGAATCTAGCCGGAACTGTGTTTTGCTATCTGGGTGGCTAGGCGTGTATCAGCAAACTAATAAAGCCCGAAAAAAGCCCTGAACTTAGCGAATAAACAGTGTTCCACCAGGATCATGTATGTCAGAAACTATAGTTTACTGCTGAGCTCATTTTGTCATGGTAAAATAACACAGAAATCGAATAATAACATTTCAGTCTACTTCAGTCTCCTGCCGAAGCTCAGACGCCGCGCTTTGAGAAACTGTCAATCACAGCTGTAAACAGATGACACGCCCAGCATTAAATTACTGCTAAAAACAAACTGTTTACAAAAATGAAGATCTGCACCTATTTCAGCACAATAACCAGTGCCTTAATCGACCAGAACTATCTTTCGGGACATTTTATTGCAAGTGTAATATTTTTTTTTATTTGGGCTCAAGTCTCCTTCATTAACACGGAGGAGGCGGGCTTTATGACTTGTACTGCAGCCAGCCCCCAGGGGGCGATCTAACGGCCGAAACCTTCACTCAAACGTAGGCTTGCGGCACACTTGGTTTGAACATTAATATGTGATGTCTGCCATTTCAAATGTTTGTTTGTTTTTTTTTCGGTTCTGATATGTTAATATGAGAAAAAAGGCACAGGACAGTGTTAAATGATAATGAAATTTGTTTTGTCTCACATTTCATTATAGAAATAAATAAATTTGACGTTTTACCACACTAACAGCATTCGCATCAAATAAGACATACACCATCTAAATAGGTAATTAAAAGTAGACTAAATTCCAGTATTTTTTATAAACATTAGGCTAGTTTTCTATCAAAATAAGTCATAACTTACTGAGAGTCGATCTCCAGAGCACGAATCCCTAAAATGTGTCGGTTGGTAACGGCATAAATTTAAATTTCCAGCAGCGGGAGATTTGAAAGGCGCGGCGGGAAATGGTCAGTTAACGATGTGCGAGGACCTTATTCTAAAATGCAGAAGTGCGCCTGTTTTCACGATGGTTTTAAAACTTCCAATTCAGTCGCTTATGGGAGAAATGACTAGGAATAATTAACGGCAGAAAACGGTCAAACCACTTGGTCTATAAACAAATGTTTGCATGACTATACAGACCAAGTAGAATAATATAATAAGGAAATAAGGAGCAGTTTTTAACATCTAAAATGAATGGAAGTGAATGAGACCGGAAGTCTTGAGCCTAAAAGATTCAAATGGCTGCACCCGCTCCTCGGCAAAGAATAAGGTGAATAGTAAATAAAGACAACATGCGTTGTGAACATATGCTTTTATTGTTTCGACAAATGTCTTTTAGTTGTGTGTTGATGGTTTTGTTTTACATTAGGAGAGCCTGATATGGTAAAACATCACCGTTATTAGAGAAACATTTCCAATGAGCTTCTATTAAAATCTGTTGGCCATTTCAACAAGCATTAATGGAGCTACATAAGCAGTTTATGAATCATTTTCGCAGTGAATGTGTGTGCACTTCCCAGAAAGCTCCTTTAGTAAGCATGTGATGCCCTTGCAGTGCCGTCCACCCACACAAACGACTGCGCTAAAGTGTGTTAGAGAGCAATCCACACACATACACATACACATACACACACACACACACACACACACACACACACACACACACACACACACACACACACACACACACACAGAGAGCTGAATCTCCGGCCAAATTAGTCTTGTTTTGGTCACACTCAGGTTGTGCTGACCAGATGGCCACTCTCTTGGGGAGTGTGTATATGTGCACGTTTGCACATTGTGTGTATGTGTGTGCATGCGAAAGCCTTTCCAAATGCTCACAGCGGGTTTGTGCTGTAGAAGAGGAAGGTGCCACTGTGAACATGATGTATCGCAAGTCAGACCTCACCAAACCTCCACACGGGAGCCCTGGAGAACAGATTGCAGGTAGGTGTTAATTCACGACGGTGCGTGCAGAAATCAAAGGGAACGCTCGCCGTACATGACACTTCTCCACCGAACACATCATTTATTATTCCTTAAAAATGTATCATCATCCTAAAAATATTACCCAGATGAATGGAAGATCTGATTAAATTGGCAATAATCAGCATAATCATACCTATCGCAAATATATATATATATACAGAGCACAGGAGAATCAAAACAATACTAGTCTTTCCATTTACAGACGAACAGGATGTACAAACAGGCAGAACTGCTTTGATTTTTTTTTTTTTTTAAGGGAATGCAAAAAGGAAAACCGCAAACTAAACATTCAGAGGATAAATTAATATCCTGAAAGGACAAACAAAACACTGTTGGTTCCGCCTAGCTGCCAGATGAGTGCGGATAAACAAACTGCGGAGGGTGTGCATCTGTCCACGGAGAACTTCAAAGAACCGGACCCTCCTCGAGTCATTGTGCAAAGTTATAACTTATATACCGATCCCAACCGGAGGTCGAGAATATTCACATGGATTTTCAAAGTCAGCAGTTGTGGACTTTTTAAAAGCAAGTGTTTGTATTGTAAATGAGCTCAAACGCACAGCAGGTTCCTCAAACTCCAGCAGGACGCCGTTCGAGAGACTGAGCGTTGAGTTAGAGACAGATTCGGTCCGATTCGGATGGCGCCCTGCCTGAGGATTGGTCAGCTTGGCTGAGGCTGTTGAGTGCCGTACATTAGAGGAATTATGAAGACTGAGATGTCGTCACCAGAACCCAGACGATCTCCGGCAATTCTCCAGCCTCTGTCTTTTAAGATGCCTCTGGCCTTCATCACCAGGTCTTGAGCTGCCATAGTGTACCTGAAAACAAACAAACAATAGTTCACTAGTAACAGTTTCAGTCAAACAAAGTCACCCAAAATGAAAATTCTGTCAGCATTTACTCCAGTATTATAGTGTTTTTACCACATCTCAGCTTGGAAAATCATCTGTACGTTGTATAGTCTGAGATATATTGAGGTGTCGTCCAGTATTTTACCATGTTTTTACCACATCTTAGCCTGGAAAATCATCTGTATGTTGTATAGTCTGAGATATATTGAGGTGTCATCCAGTATTTTACCGTGTTTTTACCACATCTTAGCCTGGAAAATCATCTGTATGTTGTAAGATATATTGAGGTGTCTTCCAGTATTTGAGTATTTTACCGTGTTTTTACCACATCTTAGACTATACAAGATACAGACTATACAACATACAGATGATTTTCCAGGCTGAGATGTGGTAAAAACACTATAAAATACTCAAATACTGGATGAAATCTCAATATATCTTAGACTATGCAAGATTCAGAGGATTATCCAGACTAAGATGTGGTAAAAACACTGTAAAATACCAGAAGACACCTCAATATATCTCAGACTATACAACATACAGATGATTTTCCTGTCTAAGATGTGGTAAAAACACGGTAAAATACTCAAATAGAGGAAGACACTTTAATATATCTCTGACTATACAACATACAAATGATTTTCCGGTTTGAGATTTTTAAAAGTGTCTTCCTCTATTTCAGTATTTTACCGTGTTTTTAACACATCTCAGCCTGGATAATCATCTGAATCTTGTATAGTCTGAGATATACAGAGGGTTCTTTCAGTATTTGAGTATTTTACAGTGTTTTTTACCACATCTTAGCCTGGAAAAGTATCTGTATGTTGTATAGTCTGAGATATATTGAAGTATTTCCAGCTTTTTACAGTGCTTTTACCACATCTTAGCCTGGGAAATCATCTGTATGTAGTATAGTCTGAGATATATTGAGGTGTCTTCCAGTATTTAACAGTGTTTTTACCACATCTCAGCGGGAACTCATCTGTATGTTGTATAGTCTGAGATATATTGAGGTGTCTTCCAGTATTTAACAGTGTTTTTACCACATCTCAGCGGGAACTCATCTGTATGTTGTATAGTCTGAGATATATTGAGGTGTCTTCCAGTATTTGAGTATTTTACCGTGTCTATTGAGGTGTCGTCCATCATTTCAGTATTTTATAGTGTTTTTACCATGCCTATTGAAGTGTTGATACTTCCTTCTGTTGAACACAATCGAAGATATGCTGAAAAATGAAGGAAAAATGTGTATTTTTGTTTATACTATGGATGTCAATGGCTGCTTTTTCCCCTGACATTCTTCAGAATATCTTGTGTTGTGTTCAACAGAAGAAAAAAAGTCATACAACTTTGGAACCACTTAAGTAATTGGTGAGGATATTTTTATTTTTGTGGGAACTTCCCCTTTAAATTCTTTCATCATTGGCTCACCATCATGTCGTGCCAAACCCGTATGATTTGCTGTTGTGCGGAACAGGTTTGCAGAAAGAAAGTCAGATATGTTTGGATCAACATGAGGTAAATGAAGACCTTTTGAATGTTCAGATGTTCTTTATGTGTCTTGATCATGGTGATGGTTCATGGTTTGTTTGTTTTTGGAGCATTGATCCCAGGATGCCAATGCGTTATTGGTATCTATGGTTCCATCTATGACAATGACTAGAAAACACGTTTTTTTTTTTTTTTTTTTGGTTCTCCAAAATAATCTTTCAACAATCAAATTTTCCTTGGTGTGAGGAATGATTTAGAACAATTTTCCATGAATGTTAAAGGTTTTTAAAGGAACCATAAATGTCAGCCTGATCTCACGAGAAAACGTAAGTATTTTACGTTTTGCCAGTATAGTGGCTAATTCGTACGAATTTGTACGAGTTCAGTCACACGAAATTGTACGATTTTAAAAAGGAGGTGTGGCACCTAACCCCACCCCTAAACCAAACCGTCATTGGGGGATGAGCAAATCGTACTAAATTGTACGAATTAGATCGTACGAATTAATACGAATTAGCCACTAAATCAAAAAGTTACGAATTGCTGTGAGATTGTGTTGTAAATGTCAATATGTAAGCATTATTTTTGATAAAATTTTTTGTTTTACAATTTTGTTTTTTATTGATATGTCATTAACAGAGTTCATACGGTCACGAAAAACCTGGAAAAGTCAAGGAATTTTTACATGGCATTTTCCAGGCCTGGAAAAGTTTTGGAAAAACTGAAAAACCCACAAAGTTTTGGAAAAGTCATTTTTGAATTTTGCGTTTCTGTTTTTTACCATGAAAAAAAAAGAGCCATCTTTTGATCTTCGTTTGAAAATTCAAAAACAAAAAAAACGCACTGAGTTTAATTTTCGTTTTTGAATTTTAGGGTGCTTTCACACCTGTGAATCGATTCAGTTGTTCTGAAACAGAGATTTCAATTGTTACATTGTTGCTCTTTGCTCTTGGAGCGGTTCGCTTTCACTCTGCAAAGTTTCTAATCGGACCAAAAGAGCTAAAACAAGTCACGTGCGAGTAAACTCTCCTCACATTGGTCAGAGTGTCAGGGTTTATTTTGCAGCGTCCCGCTCAGCTGTCAGGAGAGGTGGTGGTTTGGTGGTGATTGACAGGGTGTGCGCGCGACGTGTCTGAGGAGAGACGCAGTGGGGAGGGGTGAGAAGGGTGCGCGACGATGCCTATTTGAGGACCGGGAGGGAGACTCAAGATTACCGGGAGATCATCACTCGTTTGCGGGCATCCGGAGACTCGCGAAACTTCCCGCCCTACTCATAATTCTTTCTTCATATAGCCGTATGCCTATTACATATCTATAAAACACTGTGATATAACTGCGCTCGAATCGGATCGCTTTCTCAGTGCAATCGAACCGCTCCAGGGTTCGTTTCAATCGAGCCGAGACCACCTCATTCAAGCGATCTCGGAGCGATTACTTTGGCGCGGAACAGAGCGAGATTGCCCTGTTCACATATGCCAAACAAACCGCTCTAACTGGGCAAACGAGACACGTTCCGAAACAAAAGTGTAGGTGTGAAAGCACCCTTAAAGCGAAAATCAAAAAGTCTCGTTTCTTAAATGAATATACAATGACCAAAAGATACACTGACCCTGAACGCATTCTGTACTGTAGGAGACACGGCAGGGAGGAGATTGATTGACAAAGGCCTTCAGCCAATCAGGAAACAGAGCACAATGTGCTGTAGAAAAAAAGCATGTCAAACTGCACGAAGAAAGTCTGTGAAACTGCGAGGCCATGAAAAGCGGGACCACTATTTGTTGAGCCAAATTGTAGAACTAAAAATGATTCTTCAATGGCGGCATTATTTCTTCACCCTCTCAAGTAAAACCGGTTCTCTAGATAGAACATCTCCCAGAATAACCCCTGACGCTGTTGGGTCATCTGCAGGGTTTTTTGGGTAGACCTGTTGAGGAACTTGCCTGTGCTGGTCATCTGGGTCACAGTTTCCAAGGAAACCAGAAACAGCATCTGCCACTTCCTGATTGCTCAAGACGTCCCAGAGTCCATCCGTGGCCAGAATCAGGACATCATCAGCGCCGTGTTCAAACTGACAGAGGTTATAGACCTGCACCTGAAGGACACACAACATTACCATATGTTATACTATATATTATATATATCGAGGCAACAATCATAACTAATAGCAAAGTAAAAATAAATGAATAAATATAATAAAAAAATGTAAATATTTGTGCTAATTAAGTAGTAAAATAATATAAAAAATAACACATGCACAATTAAACCCCCCCCATTTGAGATTTTCCACATATCTGCTCATCTGTTATGCTGTTAACCGTGGTAAAATCCCTGTATTGCTTGACTTATAATAAAGCCATCTGCTCTGACAGCGTCTCGGGTGGGTGTTTTTCTTCACATCTAAATTTCCCCTTAAAACAAACACGTTCTCAGTCAATCCCATAATCCCGTTAGCTCTCAGCGATCGTGAGGAAACACAGCGGTTTCATTTCATCACTGGATCTCCATCAACGCAGACGCAGCGTTACAGCAGAGAGCAGGCTTTTAAATGCAAATCAGCAGCAGATCAAGACATGCACGCTGAGAAATAGAGGAGGGGGAAAAGATGCACAGATTTCTCTCACACTATTCATCAGCACAGCACTGCACTAATAAATATGCAAATTATATTGATCATTATTATATCATATAGCATGCATTTGAGTAAATATAAAGACTGATAAATGCATTAAATATTGATTATATAATATTTATATATATATATTATATTCAAATGCAAATCAGCGGAAGATGCACCGTTTTGTCATCAGCTATTCCTCAGCACTACTAATAAATATGCTAATTATATTCATCATTATTATAATAATAAAAATGCATGTGTACATTTAATGATTAATAAATGTATTCAATGCAATGTAGTATTTTTAATAATGCATGGTGAGAAAAAAGGAGGAGGAGATGCACAGATTTTTCTTAAACTTCATCAGCACTGTATTAATAAATATGCAAATTAGATTAACTTTTATGACTAATAAATGTATTCAATATTATATATTAATAATTACAGCAGATATGAGGCTTTTAAATGCAGATCAAGACATGCACAGTGAGTAAAATAAGGAAAAAAACATGCACAGATTTTTCTCAAACTATTCATCAGCACTGTACTAATAAATATGCTAATTATATTAATCATTATAATAATAATAACAACAATGCATGTGTACATTTAATGATTAATAAATGTATTTAATGCTTTTAGTATTTTTAATAATGCATGGTGAGAAATGCACAGATTTTTCTTAAACTATTCATCAGCACTGCACTAATAATATGCAAATTATATTCATCATTATTATAATATTAAAATAAATAGTGTAAATGTAATGATTAATAAATGTCTTAAATATTGATTATATATTAATAATTACAGCAGATATGAGGCTTTTAAATGAAGATCAAGACATGCTCGGTGAGTAAAATGGGAAAAAATATGATGCACAGACTTTTCTCAAACTATTCATCAGCACTGTACTAATAAATATGCAAATATATTAATCATTATTATAATAAAAATGCATGTGTACATTTAATGATTAATAAATGTATTTAATGTTTTTAGTATTTTTAATAATGCATGGTGAGGAAAAAAAGGGGAGATGCACAGATTTTTCTCAAACTATTCATCAGCACTGTATTAATAAATATGCAAATTAGATTAATGATTATTATAATAACACAAATGCATTTGTGTAACTTTTATGACTAATAAATGTATTAAATATTATATATTAATAATTACAGCAGATATGAGGCTTTTAAATGCAGATCAAGACATGCACGGTAAGTAAAATAATGAGAAAAAAAACATGCACAGATATTTCTCAAACTATTCATCAGCACTGTACTAATAAACATGCAAATTATAACAATCATTATAATATTAAAATAAATTGTGTAAATGTAATGATTACATGAACATAATGACAGCAAATATCTGGCTTTTAAATGCAAATCAGAAGCAGATCAAGACATTCACAGCGAGTAAAATGAAAAAAAAAAAACATGCACAGATATTTCTCAAACTATTCATCAGCACTGTATTATTAAATATACAAATTATAGTAATCATTAGTATAACAATACAAATACATTTGTGTAACCTTTATGAATAAGAAATGTATTAAATATTATTTCAAGAGTTCCCACTTAGATATGCTTAGCGTTTATAGCAGGTTTGGCATGCTGTCCCAGGAGAGAACCCTAAGCTCGGAGATACTTGAGCCCAAGGCTCCCGCCCAGTCAATAAGCATATCGGGAGATCCAAGATCAGGTAGGTCTAGAGAGCTCCCCCTTTGAAAAGGGAGGAAAAAGGAGGAGAAGGGGTGGAAGGGGGGATTCTTCCAAAAAGAAGATAGAGCAGTAGGGAGAAAATGCTCCATTTATAGTAAACTAGAATCCCTCTGATTGGATTACTAATGATTACAGATGAGCCGTGCTCAATCATATCATGTGCTCCTCTCAAAATTAGTTTATGAAACTTCACTTAAAAATAATTACAGCAGATACGAGGCTTTTAAATGCAGATCAAGACATACACGGTGAGTAAAATGGGAGAAAACATGCACAGATTTTTCTCTATTCATCAGCACTGTACTAATAAATATGCATATAATAAAACAAAATAAATAAATAAATAATAAAATAAATTGTGTATATGTAATGATTAATATATGTATTCAAAGTTTTTAGTACTAATGTACTAATAAGCAGGGCCAGACGGAATCTGCGGACGTTTTTTTACTATTTCTGTGGAGAATTTTAATAAAAATTTACACATTTACTCAAGTAAATAAACAGAATTAATGATGGGCTAAAAATCAGCGGAATTCTGCGCGTGCAGATTCCGTGTGGGCCTACTAAAAACTAACTATGTCAGTTATGTTAATAATAAAATCATTATTATAACTTAAAATACATTTCTGTAAACTTAATGACTAACAAATGTATTAAATATTGATTATATATTAATAATTACAGCAGATACGAGGCTTTTAAATGCAAATCAGAGGCAGATGAAGACAAGCAAGGTTAGAAAATAAAAAATTAAAAATTAAAAAGCGGGAAAAAAAAGTAAAAAAAAAAAAACCTGCAGAATTTTCTCAAACTATTCGTCAGCACTACTAATAAATATGCAAATTATATGAATCATTATTATAATAATAACAATGCATGTGTACATTTAATGATTAATAAATGTATTTAATGATTTTAGTAGTTTTAATAATGCATGGAGAGAAAAAAAAGGAAGAGATGCACAGATTTTTCTCAAACTATTCATCAGCACTGTATTAATAAATATGCAAATTATATTAATTATTATTATCAAGGGAAAAATATGTTTGTGTAAATGTAATGATTAATAAATGTTTCAAAGTTAAGCATACATACAGTATTCATACTTTTAGATAATACTTTATTAAAAAAATACTGAAAATTTAAACTGTAAGATACATGTATATATACACACACACACACACACACACACATATACATATTTATAACATATACATTTATATATATATATATATATATATATATATATATATATATATATATATATATATATATAAATTTACACATTTAGAATTGTTTTATACAAATATAAGCAAAAATAAGGAAATATTTAATGATATAATTTAACATTATATTTGTTTTTTTAATAGATTATTGTTTGTTAATTTTATTAAAATACACATACACACACACTTTATTACATTAATTACTCCAATATATTAAATATTAACGTATAGAGATCAATATATGTTAGAAATAACAAGTGAAATTTATAAAAATATTCAATACTAAACTACACATTTAATATACGTACAACTGGAGACATTTCATTCACACTTAAATATATTACATAACAATTAAACAAATAATTAATGTAAAGCAGAACATACTTTAATCAAATTATACTGTAAGTGTAAATAATTATTGTTTTCAATCATAATAATATAAAAAAGATGTATTTTTTAAATGGTTTATTTGCCCTAACAATTACTGCATTTTAAAGTATGTTATATACAGGAATAGACAGACAGATACTAATCTAGTGTTAAAATATTAATATAGAGTTCGTCCTGAACTTCTGACCCAGTGTTTGTGCTGCAGACGGTAAAAGAGCGAGAGAGTCTATCGTTCAGAGTCAGAAAGCTGACACGATTACAGCCCGAGTTACACAAGCAGAGCCGAGAGGAGGAGGAGGAGGAAGAATTAAAGAGGAGCGGATCAAAGAGAAACACTGAGCAGAGAAGAAGATGAACCTGCGCTGAACTTTACACCGACACTGAAGCAGAGATCAAGAGCTGAAGACTGACGAAACGCGGTAAAAACACAGTAAAATACTGAAATACTGGACGACACCTCAATAAATCTGAGACTATATAACTTACAGATGATTCTTCAGCCTAACACATGGTAAAAACATGGTCAGATTAAAAAAAAAAACTGGACGACACCTCAATAGACATGGCAAACACATGGTAAAAATACTGAAATAATGGATGACACCTCAATGGACGCTGTAAAAACACAGTAAAAGTACTCTTAATACTGGACGACACCTCAATAAACCTGAGACTAAATAACTTACAGATGATTCTTCAGCCTAACACATGGTAAAAACACGGTAAAATATTAAAATACTGGACGACACCTCAATAGACATGGCAAACACATGGTAATATACTCTTAATAATGGACGACACCTCAATAAATCTGAGACTAAATAACTTACAGATGATTCTTCAGCCTAACACATGGTAAAAACACGGTAAAATATTAAAATACTGGACGACACCTCAATAGACATGGCAAACACATGGTAATATACTCTTAATAATGGACGACACCTCAATAAATCTGAGACTATATAACTTACAGATGATTCTTCAGCCTAACACATGGTAAAATACTAAAACACTAGACGGCACCTCAATAGATATGGCAAAAACACAGTAAAAATAATGAAATAATAGACGACAACTCAATGGACACTGTAAAAACACAGTAAAAATACTGAACAACACCTCAATAAATCTGAGATGATATAACTTACAAATGATTCTTTAGCCTAAGACAAGGTAAAAACATGGTAAAATACTAAAATACCGGACGACACCTCAATAGACATGGCAAAATCATGGTAAAAATACTGAAATACTGGACGACACCTCAATAGACATGTCATATACTCTTAATAATGGATGACACCTCAATAAATCTGAGACTATATAACTTACAGATGATTCTTCAGCCTAACACATGGTAGAAATACTGAAATAATGAACGACACCTCAATGAACACGGTAAGAACCTGGTAAAATACTCAAATACTAAACGACACCTCAATAGAGATGGTAAACACATGGTAGAAATACTGAAATAATGAATGACACCTCAATAAATCTGAGACTATATAGATTTCAGATGATTCTTCAGACTGAGACATGGTAAAAACATGTTAAAATACTCAAATACTGGATGACATCTCAATAGACACGGCAAAAACACCGAAATAATGAACAACAGCTCAATAGACACAGTAAAAACTTGGACGACAACTCAATATATCTCAGACTATATAACTTTAAGATGATTCTTCTGGCTGAGACATGGTAAAACATAGTAAAATTCTCAAATACTGGACAACACCCTAATAGGCATGGTAAAAACACGGTGAAAAAAATGAAAAACTGGACGACACCTCAATGGACACTGTAAAAACACAGTAAAATACTGAAATACTGGACAAAACCTCAATAAATCTGAAACTATATTACTTACAGATGATTCTTCAGCCTAACACAAGGTAAAAACAAGGTAAAATATTAAAATACTGGACGACACCTCAATAGACATGGCAAAAGCATGGTAAAAATACTGAAATACTGGACGACACCTCAATAAATCTGAGACTACATAACTTACAGATGATACTTCAGCCTAACACATGGTAAAAACATGGTCAAATTTTTTAAAAACTGGACAACACCTCAATAGACATGGTAAACACATGGTAGAAATACTCAAATACTGGACGACACCTCAATGGACGCTGTAAAAACACAGTGAAAATAATGAAATATCACAAGACACCTCAATAAATCTGAGACTATATAACTTACAGATGATTCTTCAGACTGAGACATGGTAAAAACATGGTAAAATACTCAAATACTGGATGACACCTCAATAGACACGGCAAAAACACCGAAATAATGAACAATAGACACAGTAAAAACTGGATAAAAATTGTAAAACAATGGACGACACCTCAATAAATCTTAGACAATATAACTTTCAGATGATTCTTCTGGCTAAAACATGGTAAAACATAGTAAAATTCTCAAATACTGGACAACACCTCAATAGGCATGGTAAAAACACGGTAAAAAAACAAAAAAACTGGACGACACATTAATGGACACTGTAAAAACACAGTAAAATACTCGAAGACACCTTAAAAATGTCTCAGACTATAGAATCTACAGATGATTTTCCAGGGTAAGACATGGTAAAATACTCAATTACTGGACAACACCTCAATGGAGACTGTAAAAACACAGTATAAATACTCAAAAACTGGAAGACACCTCAATAAATCTAAAACTATATAACTTTCAGATGATTCTTCAGACTGAGACACGGTGAAAACATAGTAAAATACTCAAACACTGGGCGACAGCTCAATTGACACGGAAAAACACAGTAAATTTTTTTTTAACAGGACGACATCAATAGAGGTGGTAAAAATACTGAAAATATGAACAACACCTCAATAGACATATTTAAAACATGGTAAAACACTGTTAATACTGGACGACACCTCAATAAATCTGAGACTATATATCTTACAGATGATTCTTCAGCCTAACACATGGTAAAAACAAGGTAAAATATTAAAATACTGGACGACACCTCAATAGACATGGCAAAAGCATGGTAAAAATACTGAAATAATGGACGACACCTCAATAAATCTGAGACTACATAACTTACAGATGATTCTTCAGCCTAACACATGGTAAAAACATGGTAAAATTTTTTAAAAACTGGACAACACCTACATAGACATGGTAAACACATGGTAGAAATACTCAAATACTGGACGACACCTCAATGGACGCTGTAAAAACACAGTGAAAATAATGAAATATCACAAGACACCTCAATAAATCTGAGACTATATAACTTACAGATGATTCTTCAGACTGAGACATGGTAAAAACATGGTAAAATACTCAAATACTGGATGACACCTCAATAGACACGGCAAAAACACCGAAATAATGAACAACAGACACAGTAAAAACTGGATAAAAATTGTAAAACAATGGACGACACCTCAATAAATCTTAGACAATATAACTTTCAGATGATTCTTCTGGCTAAGACATGGTAAAACATAGTAAAATTCTCAAATACTGGACAACACCTCAATAGGCATAGTAAAAACACGGTAAAAAAACAAAAAAACTGGACGACACATTAATGGACACTGTAAAAACACAGTAAAATACTCGAAGACACCTTAAAAATGTCTCAGACTATAGAATCTACAGATGATTTTCCAGGGTAAGACATGGTAAAATACTCAATTACTGGACAACACCTCAATGGAGACTGTAAAAACACAGTATAAATACTCAAAAACTGGACGAGGCCTCAATAGACACTGTAAAAACACGGTAAAATACTGAAATACTGGACGACAACTCAATAAATCTAAAACTATATAACTTTCAGATGATTCTTCAGACTGAGACACGGTAAAAACATGGTACAATACTCAAACACTGGACAACACCTCAACAGACATGGTAAAAACACAGTAAAAAACTGAAATACTGGACAACACATTAACAGACATGGTAAAAAACACTGAATTATTGGATGTCAATATATCTGAGAGTATATAACAGAGCAAGAGCCCATTACTAATACAGGACGCCCCACACAACTGCATTACTGTTGATAAACAAATGAAAAATACTAGAGTCATTTATAGTAAATACTGTGGTATTTTTGAAACATAATAAAGTAAAATGCTTGAATGAATCTTCTGCTAATCTTTGTATAATAAATATGTCCAAAAACACAGAAAAATCATGATCACAAAGGTAATAATTTGGCAAATGTGTGCCAAATGTCTAAATAAAAACAAAGTAATTGATAAATGTTAGGAAACATTCGTGTGTGTGTGTGTGTGTGTGTGTGTGTGTGTGTGTGTGTGTGTGTGTGTGAGAAAAGGGAAAGACCAACCTCAGGCGAGCAGGACAGGAATGGTTTGATGGCGATGTCGGAGTCATGAACCTTCAGGTCGTGATCTCCAAGTCCTCGAGTGATGCCGATGGTGGCTAAAACACGAGCCTGGGCAACAAACACGTTCAATATGTCAACATCAGAAATATCTAGTCAAGCTCAACATCACATAGTCTTGTCCAAGAAGCATCATTATGGAAAAAATATTTCTCAGAATTTGCCTGGGGTGTGAATATTTGGCCTGACTGTATGCATGTGTGTATTTACACAGCTGAAAGCAGAAGTTTACATACACTATATTGAAGGCACATAACCATTTAAAATAAAGTCAGATGTTAATGTGACTAAACCTTTTCTCTTTTAGGTAAGTTAGGATTATCAGATGTGTTTCTGTTCTGCTTATTAATAGCAGAATAATGAGAGAGATATTTTTTTGAGAAATTGTTATAACTTTTCTTGAAAGTCAAGTTTACACACAATAAGATTATTCTGCCTCTGAAGCAGCTCAGATGATGATGTCGAGGTTTTGGAAGTTTCTGATTGGCTAATTGACAACATTTGAGTTAATGTGAGGCACAACTGTAGAATAGTATTGAAGGAAAAGCTCAAACACACTGCTTCCTTGTGTGACAACATGGGAAAATCAACAAGCCAGAATCAACAACAAAGCCAGATTACAATTAGCTGAATGACACTGGGAAAAAGACTGATGTTTGGAGACATGTCCTGTGCTCTGATGAAGCTAAGATTGAACTGTTTGGCCATAATGACCATTTGGAGGACAAAGGGGAAAGCTTACAAGCCTAAAAACACCATTCCAACTGTATGTGGGCGGCAGCATCATGTTGTGGGGCTGTTTTGCTGCAGGAGGGACTGGTCCACTTTACAGCATAGATGGCATCATGAAGAAAGAACATTATGGAGAAATACTGAAGAAACATCTCAAGACATCAGCCAGGACATTACAACTTGGCCACAAATGAGTCTTCCAAACAGACCATGAGCCTGAGCATACTGCCAAATGAGTTCAAATGTGCTTTAAGGACAACAGAGTGAATGTTTTGGAGTGGCCATCACAAAGCCCTGATCTCAATCCTATAGAAAATGTGTGGGGAGAGTTGAAAAAGCTTGTGCGAGCAAGCCAGCCAACAAATCTGACTCAGTTACAGCAATTCTGTCAGGAGGAATGGGCCAAAATTCCTGCAAACTATTGTGAGAAGCTTCTGGAGACCCAAAACATTTGAGCACAGTTGTACAGTTTAAAAGCAAAACTAAAAAAATACCAAAGAAATGTGTGTAAACTTTTGAGTGTCTGAAAATTAATAACAAATTCTCAAAAAATAAATTGTTTCATTATTCAGGCATTAAGCAAATGTAAATAATTTAGGTAATCCTAACAGATCTAAAAAAGAAAATGTTTAGTGTGATTTACCATCAGATAAAAAAAAAAAGTTCCTTTCTTAGAGTGTGTGTAAACTTCTGGTTTCAACTGTATACATATTCATTCATTCATTCATTCATTCATTTTCTTTTCGGCTTAGTCCCTCTATTAATCCCTTTATTAATCCCTTTATTAAACAGCGGAATGAACCGCCAACTTATCCAGCATATATATATATATATATATATATATATATATAGGGCTTATTACATACTATACTCCCCCTGTTGGCGTGGGTTTTTTCCGGGTGCTCTGGTTTTCCCACAGTCCAAACACGTGCACTATAGGTGAATTGATGAACTAAACTGACCGTAGTGTATGAGTTTGTGTGTGAATGAGTGGCTGCATCCGAAACCGCATACTTCCATACTATATAGTACGCTAAAATCAGTATGCGAGCCGAGTAGTATGTCCGAATTCATAGAATTCGAAAATCAGTATGCGAGAAGTACCCGGATGACCTACTACTTTCGGCGAGATTCTGGAGTGCGCATCCCATGCACGCTGCGCTATCCCTTAATGCCCCGCGAGCGAATTCATGAATGGGAGTAAAGCGACGCAATTGACGCAGGTAGGTCACATGACCATGATAAAATGGCGGATGTTGTACGTCCGAATTCCATTCATACTTTTCACGTTCATACTGTATAGAACGCACTTTCCTAACGGCCGAGTAGTACGTTTAAATTCAAATGCAGTATCTACTGAGTAGTAGGCGGTTTCGGACGCAGCCAGTGTTTCCCAGTACTGGGTTGTGGCTGGAAGGGTATCCACTGTGTAAAACACGTGCCAGAATAGTTGGCAGGTCAGTCCGCTGTGGCAACCCCTGATAAATAAGGGACTAAATCGATGAAAAATGAATGAATGAAATGCTTATAACAATAATATACTGTTTTCCTGTTTCAAGGTCCATTATTGTTATCCGTTATTATTATCACGTTCATAATATCACGTCACGAGGACCTCAAGCGCCATGTCAAGCATTTTTAGAAGCATTCAGTGTGAATGAGCCCCAATAATACAACTCCCCCTATTGCCCCTGAGTTATTTAAATTACGCATATCTTGGCAGGAAAGTAACACTATTTAGAGGTGTTTGTTTGATGAACTCTGAGCTGAACTCTTGTGACCGTGTCTCAATAGTTTAGTGTTGTGCAGCAAGAACTGCCGTCTCACCTTTTTCCCTTCTCCGTATATGAGCGGGAACTTCAGATCTTCCTCCTGAACAGTCTTGTAGGCCCTGTGCAAAACAACACAACAAACATCAAACAGCAGCCGAGGTGAAGAGAAAACCCAAGACACGTCTGAGACGGTACAGTCGAGCAGGAGAGAGTCAGCTGCGGGACGGCAGGAGAATACTGATGGAGAAATATGAAGCGCTCTGAAAACCTACAGCCACACTACACCAGCGTTTCATAAGGAATAAACATGTTTAATCAGCAAAGACACAATAAATCAAATAAAAATCACAGTGAATAATGAATACTGATCCTAGAAAATGCATTTTTACATTATATTCTTACATATATATGTGTTTTGGAGTATGTGAGAGTAGATTAGAAACTGTTTTTTTTTTCTTAACAAAAATGCTGAGAATTATTATTTCATGCATCATTTATTATTGTTATTATTTTAATAATAGAACATTTCTTCTTAAAATAAGAGTCACATTGCTCAGTCAAATAAAAAACAATATTATAATATGACTTTTTGTAATTAATCAATATAACCAGTGCAATTTAATACACTTTATGTTATTAACATAATTAAATTAAGCAATTATTTTGGTTGCATTAATATGACAGTTGCAACAAAAAAAAATCCTTAATCCATTAATCTACATAACTTTTTTACTATCATTATTATTAAGATTTATTTGAATAATAACATAATTACATAAACAATTAATAAAATAATAGCAGTGATAATAGCCATTCAATTTTATTATAATAGATAATAATAATTATTATAATTTTAATGTATTTTTTTTCTGGTTTGTTAATGTGCTTTAATGATAAAAGCATATAAAAAGATAATGAATTCTGATTGGTCGCCTTACAAACAGTCAGTGAGTCATTCAGTCCATGTCTTATTTAGCAGATTAAATAAACTGACTCATTACAGTAATATGCCCATCACATGACGCCAGAAACTCACCAGCCATTCATGGTGAAGTCTCGATACAGCATCCGCTTCCCAATCTCCCTTTTCGTGACTCTTCTGGGAAACTCCAAGTGTGTGAAATCGCTTCCCAGGAGAGACGGCTGCAGGTGAGCCTGAGAAATAACACACAAACCACAAATATGCTTCACATTAGGGCTGCACAATATATCGCAAAATTATCATTAGCGCTATATTGGATATGCCATATAGATCACACAGACATGTCTTCAGTTAAAAACTAGCCTATAGCAACATCTGCTGTTAAAAAAACTAGCCTAGAGTGCCGTTAAAACTATACTAGAGTGCTGTCTGCTGTTAAAAATTAGCCTAGAGCGCCGTCTGCTGTAAAAGCTGGCCTAGAGTGCCATTAAAACTATGCTACAGCACCATTAGCTGTTTAAAAAAACTAGCCTAGAGCGCCATCTGCTGTTAAAAACCTAGCCTAGAGCGCCATCTGTTGTAAAAACTAGCCTAGTGTTGTTAAAACTATCTTGGAGCGCCATCTGCTCTTAAAAACTATCCTAGAGCGCCATCTGTTGTAAAAACTAGCCTAGAGTGCCGTTAAATCTATCCTAGAGTACTGTCTGGTGTTGAAAATTAGCTTAGAGCGCCATCTGCTGTTAAACACTAGACTAGAGCACCGTCTGTTGTAAAAACTAGCCTAAAGTGTTGTTAAAACTATCTTAGTGTGCCGTCTGCAGTTAAAACTAGCATAGAGCACCATCCGTTGTTAAAAAACTAGCCTAGAGTGCCGTTAAATCTATCTTAAAGTGCTGTCTGCTGTTAAAAATTAGCCTTGAGCGCCGTCTGCTGTAAAACACTAGCCTAGAGCGCCATCTGTTGTAAAACTAGCCTAGAATACCATTAAAACTATCTTACAGCACATCCGTTGTTAAAAAACTGGAGTATTAAAACAAATATATATATATATATATATATATTGCAAAATGATCGCTATCACAATAATTGTACATGCAATTTACATATCACAGATGTTTGATAAATTACACTTATTCTATGCATTGGTTGTTTATGTAAATGTGAACAGAATTGATCAGAATTCTGGATTCACTCACCAGGAACTGAAGCCTTTGGCGCTCAGATTCAGGAGTGAAGGAGCTGGACATGGGAATAAGTTCTCCTGCGCGGACGATCAGAGCCCTGAAACAGATAAAAAAAATTGAAAAAGCAGATTAAGCAGGAATAAAACTCAATACTAGCTGTATAACAATTCACTCAAGCCACAATTTTCGTTTTTCTCATGGTTTACTTTTAGTTTAATTGGATTAATGATATTATACAATAAGTGTCCTTTCATTAGGCTATTTCTCCACGTTACTATAATAAAACTAAATAGGAATTTTTTAACAATCAAATAAGTTACTCCATCTGCTGTCAAACGCTAGCCTAGAGTGCAATCTGCTGTTAAACACTAGCCTAGAGTGCCATCTGCTGTTAAAAACTAGCCTAGAGCGCCGTCTGCTATTAAAAACTAGCCTAGAGCGCCGTCTTCTGTTAAACACTAGCCTAGAGCGCCATCTGCTGTTAAACACTAGCCTAGAGCGCCATATGCTTTTAAAAACTAGCCTAGAGCACCACCTGCTGTTAAACACAAGCCTAGAGCGCCACCTCTTGTTAAACACTAGCCTAGAGCGCCATCTGCTGTTAAAAACTAGCCTAGAGCGCCGTCTGCTATTAAAAACTAGCATACAGCGCCGTCTGCTGGTAAACACTAGCCTAGCGCACAGTCTGCTGTTAAAAACTAGCCTAGAGTGCCGTCTGCTGTTAAACACTAGCCTAGAGTGCCATCTGATGTTAAACACTAGCCTAGAGCACCATCTGCAGTTAAACACTAACCTAGAGCGCCGTCTGCAGTTAAACACTAGCCTAGAGCGATGTCAGCTGTTTAAAAACTAGCCTAGAGCGCCATCTGCTGTTAAACACTAGCCTAGAGCGACATCTGCTGTTAAACACTAGCATAGAGCGATGTCAGCTGTTTAAAAATGAGCCTAGAGCGATGTCAGCTGTTTAAAAACAAGCCTAGAGCGATGTTAGCTGTTAAACACTAGCCTAGAGCGACATCTGCTGTTAAACACTAGCCTAGAGCGATGTCAGCTGTTTAAAAACGAGCCTAGAGCGATGTCAGCTGTTAAACTCTAGCCTAGAGCGATATCTGCTGTTAAACACTAGCCTAGAGCGCCGTCTGCTGTTAAACACTAGCCTAGAGCGATGTCAGCTGTTTAAAAACTAGCCTAGAGCGATGTCAGCTGTTAAACACTAGCCTAGAGCGACATCTGCTCTTAAACACTAGCCTAGAGCGATGTCAGCTGTTTAAAAACGAGCCTAGAGCGATGTCAGCTGTTAAACACTAGCCTAGAGCGACATCTGCTGTTAAACACTAGCCTAGAGCGATGTCAGCTGTTTAAAAACGAGCCTAGAGCGATGTCAGCTGTTAAACACTAGCCTAGAGCGCTGTCTGCTGTTTAACACTAGCCTAGAGCTATGTCAGCTGTTTAAAAACGAGCCTAGAGCGATGTCAGCTGTTAAACACTAGCCTAGAGCGACATCTGCTGTTAAACACTAGCCTAGAGCGCTGTCTGCTGTTAAACACTAACCTAGAGCTATGTCAGCTGTTTAAAAACGAGCCTAGAGCGATGTCAGCTGTTAAACGCTAGCCTAGAGCGATATCTGCTGTTAAACACTAGCCTAGAGCGCCGTCTGCTGTTAAACACTAGCCTAGAGCGATGTCAGCTGTTTAAAAACAAGCCTAGAGCGATGTTAGCTGTTAAACACTAGCCTAGAGCGACATCTGCTGTTAAACACTAGCCTAGAGCGATGTCAGCTGTTTAAAAACGAGCCTAGAGCGATGTCAGCTGTTAAACGCTAGCCTAGAGCGATATCTGCTGTTAAACACTAGCCTAGAGCGCCGTCTGCTGTTAAACAATAGCCTAGAGCGATGTCAGCTGTTTAAAAACTAGCCTAGAGCGATGTCAGCTGTTAAACACTAGCCTAGAGCGACATCTGCTGTTAAACACTAGCCTAGAGCGATGTCAGCTGTTTAAAAACGAGCCTAGAGCGATGTCAGCTGTTAAACGCTAGCCTAGAGCGACATCTGCTGTTAAACACTAGCCTAGAGCGCTGTCTGCTGTTAAACACTAGCCTAGAGCTATGTCAGCTGTTTAAAAACGAGCCTAGAGCGATGTCAGCTGTTAAACACTAGCCTAGAGCGACATCTGCTGTTAAACACTAGCCTAGAGCGCCGTCTGCTGTTAAACACTAGCCTAGAGCTATGTCAGCTGTTTAAAAACGAGCCTAGAGCGATGTCAGCTGTTAAACACTAGCCTAGAGCGACATCTGCTGTTAAACACTAGCCTAGAGGGCCGTCTGCTGTTAAACACTAGCCTTGAGCAATGTCTGCTGTCGAAAACTAGCCTAGAGCGCCATCTGCTGTTAAAATTAGCAATTAAAAACTAGTCAATAGCTCCATCTGCTGATAAAGCTAACCAAAACAAAATGTATCCCTGGTCTTCAAAGGTGTAATTTCAGCATCATTACTCCAGTCTTCAGTTTCCAATGACTCTAATGATTTGATGGCCTAGAAACATTTCTGATGATCAATACTGAAAAAGTTTCACATTGTCTTCAGTCTCTTTAATGTAGAGTCTCACCTGCTGTCACCAGCGTTGGCCACGTACAGTTTCCCCAGTAAAAACATGACGGCGAGAGCAGTGCATCCTCCAGAGATGGCGTACACACACCTCTCTCGAGCAATATGAGCATCCTGATATCAAACACACAGAGAACAAAAATAAATGAGCAACACAGGCTTTTGAAAATCAGTGCAGTCATTCATAATAATGCAGTATTCATATCAGAGATCTGCCTGCCTTCTAGTGGCCATGTGAGTATAATACAGTCTCTTGTGCTCAACGGAAATAAACGTTACAGTAAAAATGAATAAATATGAACATGTACACGTCTGATAAACTTCGACATATGAACTAAGCCTGAATCTGATTCAAGTGAATCGGAATCCATGTGATTTTTTCCTGCATGGGCCAGATCTGATCTGTGCCACATGGAAGAAAAAAATCAGAACGGAGTCACTTGAGCCATGCAGTGTAAACGCAGCCTAAATGACGGCATTGTTTTCTGAAACGCAGCTCTTTGCTTCCCTCCAGTGGCCACAGGAGCTACTACAGTTCCAGACCCATCTCTTTGTTAACCCCTCACCATCTCTTTGAATGCGTTCTCTATGGCTCCCACCACCAGACTCTCCTGCTTGATCTTCTTCTCCATGAAGAAGCGCGGGGCCATGGTGTTTGGGGAGCCCGGAGCCCCGGCGGCCCCCCGGAGTGATGCAGCTCTGGACAGGCCCCGCTGGGAGCCACTGGCAGATGCGTGCAGCTGCGGGTTGGGACTCTCCTCGCCCAGACACGTGGGCGGCTGCAGACCCGGGTCCTGCAGGATCTCCAGCACCTCTTGCAGCTGCTCCTCTATGTGCAGGTGCAGGAATTTGGCAGCGAACACTGCAGCTCCGGAGCCGCCGTGGCCATCGAACAGAGCCCAGTAGTGGAAGTCCAGCTCCTTCACCTCCTGCACACATTTATACATATGAAGTCAGCATTATTCACCCTCCGGTTGATTTTTTTCAGATATTTCCCCAATGATGTTGAACAGATTCAGGAATTTTTCCACAGTATTTCCTATAATATTTTTTCTTCTGGAGAAAGTCTTAATTGTTTTATTTCGGGCTAGAATAAAAGCTTTTTAAATTTATTTCAAGCCATTTTAAGGTCAATATTATGAGCCCCCTTAGGCAATATTAGTTTTGGATCGTCTCCAGAACTAACCACTGTTATATAATGACTTGCCTAATTACCCTAACTTTACCCTAATTACCCTAGTGAAGCCTTTAAATGTCACTTTAAGCTGTATAGAAGTGTCTTGAAGAATATCTAGCCTAATATTTTTCACTGTCATCATGACAAAGAGAAAATAAATCAGTTATCAGTGATGAGTTATTAAAACTATTCTTAGAAATATGTTGAAATAATCTTCACTTCATTAAATAGCAATTGAGAAAAAAAAAATATGCACAGAAATTGACTAGATTTGCTCACAGGGTTGTGGATGGTGTCCAGCACGTCTCCGCTGGGCAGCGAAGAGCGTCTCCGGCTCGGAGTGTAGCTGACGCTGGACGGATCTGCAGGTCTTTTCCTGAGCTCCACCACCTCACAGCAGGCCTGATCCTCATTCAGAGCACTTTTACCAGCGTTGATCACCCTGAAGACACACAGGACATCATATTTATACACAATATCACAATATAAAAGACAAAACGAGTTTTACATTATAATGCTTACTTAAAGGGGAACTTTTATGCATCTTTTACAAGACCAAAAGTCTAAAACTCCACATATATAATCCTCTTAGTCTATGCTGACATTGGGCCCAATCATACACCCGACACAATGTGGTGCAAAACACAGCGCAATAGTCTTTTGGTAGTTTCAGCTTGGCGCAAGAGTGGTTTTGAGGCGTTGCGCTACGCTGTTTAAATAGCAAATGCATTAGCGCTTATTTGTGCGCCCATAGGTGTTCTGCTCTAAAAAGGAAGGCGTTCTGAGGCGGACCGCTGGCGTGTTGATATTTAGAGAAACTATAATAGATTTTTCATTAGACCAAAACAAACCCGGTCTAAACTCCAGCGCAGAGTTGCGCCTCGCTTACACACTGCTTAATACACACAAGAGAGCAATAGGCAAATATCTTTACATATGAAAAAAATGTAAATATTAAGGATATATATAGGATATAATAAGAATAGATATAGAATATAAATATAAAGGATTAAAATATTACAAAACATATTATTTTCTAGCCTACATAAATATGAAAAACCACTGCTTTTATGTCTTCTTCATCTCGGGAGGCTTTTTCAGTTCATTCAAAACAATTTGCTTTTGTATAATGTTATTATTATTAGCAGTATTATTTATTATATCCATATTTATATTTGTTTTATTAAAAACAAGCTTAGATTTGTCCACCGGTCAGGTTTTAGACCATATGGGGCACAGCATGTGTTTTAGGATATAACTCAGGTTTTTGAGCACATTTTGTTATTATTTTTCATTTATTCGTTTGCTAGAAATTAGAACTGAATTTAGAAATAGTTTTGAAACGAATATTTGCGCTTAACAAACAAAAGTATTTATTTATAGGCTCATTGATGTGTGTAAAGGTTTCCCTATCCAAGAGCTAAAGTGAAAGTAAATCCATTATCTCTCATTCTCACGCAGTAGATGCTCTGTTTAACAGTTTTAACTGTGAACTGTTTGCTTGTGAAATGCTCAGTTTTTCCACTTAGACTTACTTTGCGTCCTGTAAATGGCGAATGCGCTCTTGGCGTGACGCAGCTGGCTCTTAAAGGGAATGGGAGATGAGACTCTGATTGGTTTATTCTCAAAACACACCTATAACTCATTAAGAAAATAAACTCAACCCTTTTAGACCATGCGCCACGGCGCAAAGCAGATTTTCCCGTCCGTGAATTAGCAAAAATGCGTCCTGACACGCCCTGAAAGCGTTTGCGCCCTGCATTTTGCGCTCTGCGCATGGACCGTCAAAATAGAGCCCGTTATCTTCAGCAGATCAAACACTCTGATGGCTAATGGACAGACGGTTGCTTCTCACTCAGAGCTGCTGTTTATGCTAATGAGGGAGAGATGGGCACTAGTGGGCGGAGCTTTTCCCCTCTGATGACACGTACAGAGGGAGATTTTTATCTGTTTTTATTAAGTCTGATTGTAATAAAATAGGATTAATACCATTAGAAGTTGGATATAATCACACACTGCTGGCACAAAACTGTTTAAACCCCTTGAAAAAGTGATTTTTGCATAATAGGTGCTCTTTAATTCTCAATTTGTTCAGTTTTAGTGTTTGCGTAGATGCTACACTTTGCCTCTTTAGGTCTCGGATCTCCTCTGGCAGCATTTAAACCTGCTGAATGCCTGTAGATAATGCGCAAGCACCATTATCCATTTATATGAGTCAGAGAGCGAGTCAGAAGAGCTCAAGACAGCATGACGATCACATAATTGCCCCCATCAGGCCAGCGTTTCCACGAAAGCGCTTTCCGCGTCCTCATTTGTTCATGATGCTCAAATGGGGTTTATACAGTCCACAGAGTCCTGAGAAAAGACTCGTGTCATCGAGCGGGAACATCTGAGACGTCACACTCAAACTGCTGGAGATTAATCGGTGCCTGGATTCAGCCTCATTTCTGCCAGCCAATCAGATTTTGGTGTTATAAAAACATACACATATGAATGACTGATGCCGTTTGACTCTCACTGTGGGATTGTGGTAAATGTTTAGTGGATCATTAGCCATGTTTCCATCCAAAGATGTGAATTAGACAGGAATTTTGCATTAAAAGTTTGCAAATAAAGCAACATTTCCATCCAATGAGACACAAAAGAGAACAAAAAGCTCACTTCCTGATAAACTGGATCAAATATCAGACAAAGAAATGTGGTTTTGTGCGGTAGGAGAAGTCAATGTGGTCTACAGTATTTACTTCTCTAATAAATGAGTTGCTCTTCAGAATACAAAGACAAAACACAATGTGGTGGCTTTTGGTGTGTTTGCATCATAGATTATGCTAATTGTTTCTTTACGGATTAAAAGTTTATCTTACCCAGTTGTCACCATAATTTTCAATGCGCATTTCCAAAATTGATGTGCGTCTTGGCATTTACAATGAGAATTTTGTTATGTGATATTCCAAAACGTGCATAGAACAGGTGGATGGAAACATAGCTATAAACAGACTAATGGATCAACACATAGCCCTGTGTCAAAAACTGTTTGCCCTCCTGTTAAAACTTAATTTACTTCTTCCCAGGGCCATTTATATCAAAGTTGATTTTTAGCCGCACCATATTGCTGATTCGTAACATCTGATTTTTATGAGGTGAGTTGTTAGCCCAACGCTCAATCCCCAACGTGGAGGACCAGGACATACACACATATATTACAGACCAGGGGCCTCATGTACGAAGACTTGCGTGGAAATCATACTAAAACATTGCGTACGTACAAAGCTGTAAATGTGCGTACGCAGAAAAAAATTCAGATGTATGAAACACTGCGTACGCCGAATCTCACGCATATTCTTTTGTACATCTGAATGAACGTGAAACTAAGCGCAACATGCACGAGCACAAAACCCCTCCCTGCCTCCTCCCCCGTATGAATATGCTAATGACTATGCTAATGGAAAAACCCAACGAAAAAGCAATGACAAAAGCAAGCAAAAAGAGAAACTTTGAACAGAATGTGAATTGGAGGTGCTGCTTTCGGAGGTAGACCGGAGAAAAGCGGTGTTATTTGCAAGTTTGTTCTCCGGAATTAACAACAAAAGAAAAAAATAGAGTGGGAGAGTTTAGCTGATACGGTTAACACAGTTGGGTCTGAACATCGCACTGAATGCATTAAAAAAAAAAAAGAAATAGTGTGGTTTATATCTGTAAAATGTGGCAGGAAGCTTACCAGACTCAGTGGCGCTACTCGTAAGACGCATGTGATCATGAGTTGACACGTTCGAGCGTGAACTCGGCTCGAATCCAGCGTCTGATGAACTCTTTCTTGTTTTTTCCCCCGCTACATATCAGATTTTGCCAACTATTTATCACGAGAAAGACAAGTAGGAATCATCAATAAGTTCATATCAATAAGCATCATATTTTATTTGCACATTTATTGAATGGAAATGTTTCTGATTCACGCATGCAAATTCATCTTCAGATAGTGTCTTTATAGCAATGTGCGTGCGGTAGATCGCTCAGATTACATTGGGAAAACAGGCGACTGCTGCAAATTGTGCTTTAATGTTTAGCTGCTCAACTGTATGGTATGGAAACCTTATATACCTGCTAGATGAACCCGTCTCATACAGCTGCCATTGCAAGGCTCAGTCACTTTGTAGAGAAGAATTTAACACAACTGCCTCTAGGAGTCGCCAATGGAAATAAAACAGACACGCACAAAAAATGTGCGTACGCCTGCCATGAAGCTGCCGTGAAGCTGCGCACATTCCCACGTTCAGTTCATCGTTAGTAAATCCAAACGTGAGCGATTCTGAGCGTGAAACCTGCCGTACGCAAAGTTTTTGTGTGTATGCAGCGTTGATACATGAGGCCCCTGGGGATCTCAACTGGTTTGGCCATGGGACCCACATTTTTACATGGTCATCGAGCCGCGACCCAAATTTTTAGGAACTAAAATACACTTTTAAGAGTTATACTTAATTTGCACTTATTTGTTAACATAAACAAATAGTGACAGATACATCATAAGAAAATCACCAAGACGTAGAAATAAACACTATTTTATTGCTGTCATTTAACAAAATGGATCAAATTATAGAAATATTACAAAGTAAAAATGACAAATACTGTTAATAACAAACTGTTAATAAAACATGTTTTCTGGTTCTTAAATGTTGTTTTAACTTAGAAGGTTTCATGCTCTCTTGTGAAAGCACCTCACTACATATGACACTGAGGCTTTAAGTCTTTTTTGTCGTCAATATTTTTATCCATTGGCGTAGCGGACGGGCCCGCAGGGCACGCATCGCGGGGGGGCCCCGCGTGATTATGGGGCCCCGCGTCGTTGCGATTTTCAATAATTGAAAATCCACCGGCAACCGCAATAATCAAACTCTTGGGAACAACTGTGGTCGGAACCAAAGTTCACACGTCTGTGTTCTCTGAACACCTCTCAAGCGGTGGACTACTTCATTCTGATTGCTTGCCGCCAATGTTGCCAACTTAGCGACTTTGTTACTAGATTTAGCGACTTTTCAGAGCCCCCTAACGACTAATCTAGCGACTTTTTTGTGTGTTATTGGAGATTTTTTTAGACTGTCATTTGTCCATACTGTACCGTCCCTACTCTTCTCAACGTGCTGCGTGTGATGCCGCCGACCCCTCCCCCGCCTCACAGCACTGACAGGCGGCCCAGTCAGTCCTCTACAGCAGCCTCTTCCACCTGCAGCCCGAGAGCAGATCACCCCTCTGCGTACCGACGACAAATGATTTAGCACAGGCAGCGTGAAGGTATTCCCCTTGTACAGTCAAACCGATCTACTTCTACTTTATTTTAACAATTTAATTGGACCGTTTATTCTTGTTCACAATCACAGATATTTTAGTGACAGTTTCTGAATTTGTCTGAGTTTATTACATATGAGAGATTACTGCACATTCACTACA